ATTTATTAATGAATAACTTTTCATGTAATAATAATTTAAACTTGACATTTAATTGTTACAATTATAATGATAGAATTAATTTAATAGATATAAATAATTTAATTAAGAAATTTTTGACTAGAGATAGGTATTACCTATCAAAATATAATTTAAGACAGATAGCAAATGTGCTATCTTATTATTTATATATTAACTCAGCCAAGGACTTGGCTACACAGACATCTGCTTCTTTTGAGCAGTGTAATGACTTATTATGCCATTTGGAATCAGTTCCAAGTAATTTAAATTAGAAAATGAGACAATAGAGGTAATCTCTAGCAGTTATAATAACTTAAATAATTTAGAATGTAGCTTACAAATCTTTAATTGTATGACTCCACAGAGTAATAATGAAAATTGTTTACACCTGGTGCATCAAAATATACAAGGCATGATAGGCAAAGAGCTAGAAATTGAGTTGTTCTTAAATAGCAACAATATTCATATCTTATGTATTACTGAACATTGGTTAAAAGCTTATAATTTAATGTTTAACTTCAGTAATCACCAGGTGGTCAGTTCTTTCAATAGAGATACGGTTTTAAGAGGTGGCTCCTTAATATTAGCTAGTAAATTATTATCATGTAAAGAACGTAAAGACATTGTGAGCCTCTCTGTTGAGCGAACTGTAGAAATGGCATGTGTTGAGTTTGAGCACCTCATTGTTGTGAGCGTCTACAGACCCCCATGTTGTACATATGATGCTTTTGAAAACATTATGGAGGAAGTTTTTGCTAAGCTTAATAAACAGAATAAATCTGTTGTAATATGTGGAGACTTTAATATCAATCTCCTAGAAGCTTCCTCCATCAATATTAAATTTAGATCATTGTTTAAATCATATGGTCTTTTTAATTTATTTATAGAGCCAACGCGTATTTCTCAATCTAGTGCAACATGTATAGATAACATTTTTACAAATGTGAAGCCGTTGCATAAATGTATAATTCAAAAATTAAGTTCTGATCACTGTGGACAAGTAGTTTCGTTACCTTATGTTCACAAAAAGCAAGTAGATGAGAAAGTTGTGTCTGTTCCAGTAAATGCACGTCGCTTGGAGAAATTTAGAAGTAACGTAGTGAAAAAACTTCCATCACTTTCATACCAAAATGATCCTAATTTTTTGTATGGAACATTATTTAAGCTTATTTGCAATGAATTTAATAATACTTTTACTTCTAAAACATTCTCCTTGAACAGTCGGAAGTCATTCAATGAATGGGCGACAGTAGGAGTCCATAAGAGCAGGCATAGGTTATATGATCTTTACCATGAAAGGTCATATAATCATAGCGTCGAATTTAGGGAATATGTAAAAAAATATTCAAAAATATTTAAAAGAGTGTGCTCCATAGCCAAGTCTTTGCATTTGAGCAACAAAATTAAGACGGCTTCCAATAAAATTAAAATGACATGGAGTATAATTAATAGCGAAACTGGTAAGATCAACTCTCGCAATTCAAATTACCAGTTAAGTGTTAACAACAAATTAACTGTATCAGATCAGGACGTAGCAATGGTTTTTGAGAAATATTTTACTGATATTCCGATCTTGACCACTAAGTCACTGAATTCTTCTCCTGCCGTCGCCGAATCATTACTTAAACAAAATGTAAATGTGTGTACAAAGAATTTTACATTTCATAAAGTGTCATCAAAAGATATTGTAAAATATTTTAAAACTATTGATGTTAAGAAAACTGCGGATCTATGGGGGATTTCCGTTAAAGTTATTGCGTCTATAATAGATACAATCGCGCCTCATTTAGCTATTATTTTTAATACTAGTATCGAATCTGGTGTGTTTCCTGATTTAATGAAGCATAGTAAAGTAATACCTTTATTTAAATCTGGTAGTACATTAGACCCCGCCAATTTTAGACCTATTTCTGTACTACCAACACTTAGTAAGATTTTTGAAAAAATTGTTCTTGTTCAAATGTTAAATTTTTTTAATATAAATAATTTACTTCATAAAAATCAATTTGGTTTCACAAGGGGTCGCTCGACAACTGATGCCGGTGTTGAGCTGATTAAATATATCTTTAATGCATGGGAGAATTCACAGGATGCTTTGGGTATATTTTGTGACCTATCCAAGGCCTTCGATTGTGTTCACCATGAAACATTAATCAGGAAACTTCAACACTACGGTGTAAGAAGTGATGCCCTTAAATTAATTATTTCATATTTAAGTAAGAGAACGCAAAAAGTTGTCATTAACAATATGAGCTCTTCCGGATCGATGGTACAAATGGGCGTGCCTCAAGGCTCAATTCTCGGCCCCTTTCTGTTTCTTGTATACATTAATGACTTACCTTACATAGTAGGGGATAACCATGATATAGTATTATTTGCAGATGACACTTCTTTAATTTTCAAATTAAGTCGACAGTTACTAAAATATGACGAAGTAAATAATGCTATCTCTAAATTAGTAAATTGGTTCGATGTTAATAATTTGCATTTAAATGGCACTAAAACAAAATGTATGAAATTCGTGACTCCAAATGTCAAACAATTAAATACTAATGTAATTTTAAATGGGGAGAAACTGAGTCTTGTAGGTACCACCATTTTTCTTGGAATCACACTAGACGCGAAGCTTCAATGGAGCCCCCATATATCAAAACTAGCAAGCAGACTTAGTTCTGCAGCATATGCTGTAAAAAAGATTAGAAGTTTAACCAGTGTTGAAACAGCTAGACTAGTTTACTTCAGCTACTTCCATAGCATAATGTCGTATGGTATTTTGCTATGGGGACACGCAGCTGACACTGAAATTATATTTGTTTTGCAGAAGAGGGCCATAAGAGCAATTTATGATTTAAAGCCTAAAGAGTCGCTGCGACAAAAATTTAAGGAAATTAATATATTAACTTTGGCCTCTCAATACATTTATGAAAATGTAATGTACGTACACAAAAATAAAAGTAGTTTTACAAAAATAAGTGATATTCATTCTGTAAATACTAGGAACAGACACAAGCTAGTAGTACCAGTTACTCGACTCCATCGAGTCAGTAATTCATTCTTGGGGCGATGTATACGCTTTTACAACAAAATTCCAGAAAATATACAAAGTTTGACCTGTTCAAAGTTCAAAAACTTTATTAAACTAAGTTTGTATAAAAAGGGTTATTATAATATTAAGGAATTTATGGATGATAATAACCCCTGGAAATGAGGTGATCGCTACCAAGCTATTTCTAATTTGTTGTGTTGTTAATTTGTGTAACATCATGATTGTAAGCTGTTATTTAAAAAAAAAAGTCCCGCTGGGTTTCTTGCTGGTTCTTCCCAGGACAGAGGTTTTTTCCGAACCAGTGGTAATCAAACAAAAGAGTGACTTTCAATAAGTATTATTTATAATCTATATTGAATAAAAAAGTTTCTGTTTCTGTTTCTGTTTCTGTTACAGTTCAGACTATGCACCATGCTATTACATTAATTTCCCAAAAAATATTGATTTGATGAGAAGTTTGATGAGATTTACGGAATCAGAAGAGGCCGAAAAACATGTCCTCAGAACAAAGGTGCATATGTTTTCAATAATGGTTTGAACGAAGCACGTTTTTATGCTTGAAATGTAATGGAGAATACTTTGAAAAGCAGTTAATATATTATTTTACGTATAAATTGTTTTATTTATAAGTTATGCAAAACTCAGTGTACCCCACGTAGTAGGTAAGGTGAAAAACTTTCATACATGGTTTTTTAGTATATCAATGTATATGTTAATTTAATTTCCCTCAAACATTACCCAAATAACAGTTATTATATTTATTTACATTTCATAGTACCTATATCGAATAGCATCGATTTAATATCTGTTTCGATCTGATCAAAATTGTGTTATCTATGTTAATTTAAATTATGATTTGTACATGATAGTAACAATGCATTGAATGTTATTAGAAACAATGGTTGGTCAAATGTTTCCGATTCGAATCAAATTATGAGCAGTATGTTAACAGCTTCATCAGCGCAGTAAGCTGAAGCGGTAATGGGCTGGCAATATGGTTTCACACACCGACAACTGATGTAGAAGAAAGGTTCCTGAGCGGCAGCCCCGTGGTGGTTAGCGAAGTGTAGGGCAACCCTTACTAGACGGCAATGACGAACTGGTAAAAGACGCAAAATATCGATGGTTGCATGTGCCTAAGGGCCGTGCTTTATGATATTCCTTGGGGGAGCTCTTTTTTAAGCAGAGGACTTGTTAACAAAGGCTGCAATAATGATGATGGAAAGAGTGAATTTAAAAACATTGAAAGTTTGTTGGTAATGGTATATCAACATGGAAGAAGGCTAAAAGGAAATCGTATTATCTATTTGCGGACTAAACTCTACTGATCGATAGGGAAGTTCAGCTTTTTGCTCTTGATTCTTAAAGACTTTTCTCAATAATACAAGTACATGTAAGTATAATTAAAATACAAATGTTCTACGGGAGTAAATGACTTCCTTGATGGATGCAGTCTATACAAATAAATAAAATTGAAGTATCTGTTTGTAATGTCAAAATAACAACTTTTTACGAAATACATGTGAGTGTATAAACGGCACTTATAACAAAAAAACAATTTTTAAAATTTTTGTCTGTCTGTCTGTCTGTTTGTTCCGGCTAATCTCCGAAACGGCTAGACCGATTTTGACGGAACTATCACTGACAGATTGCATTTTATAAAGAGTAACTTAGGCTACTTTTATTTTAGAAAAAATTAAGGTTCCGCGCAAGATAATTAAAACCTATGAAATCCAATCGTAATAAATTCCACGCGGGCGAAGTCGCGGGGAACAGCTAGTTTACAATATAAGTGCTATATCTTTGAGTAACGCTTTTATTAAAATACAACAGACAGTTACAAAGAACATCCGCTTTTTGATTAGTGACTACAAAGCGAAAGTTATTAAGAGTTGATTACGTGCACTACGACTTGTAGGTATGATTAGGTACTTGCCTGCAAATATCAGTGTTAACGGCGTACAACGCTTTGTCTCGGTTTATGAAGGGATTAAATATTCCTGAGTCTGTGCCGTTGACCATGTTGCAGACACTGGGTACCTCCTCGTCGTTCACCCAGTAGTTGAAATATGCCGAACCATTGAGAGAGATGATGAGGCCCAAATCATCCGAATTATTAATACCTCTATACGCTTTGTACACCTCGCTCACTTCTTCTTTCTAAGATATAAAGTAATCATTCTTTAATAAGTGAATTTTAAAAGATATTGATGTAGCTGCATAGTCACTTAAAGATAATGATAAGGTATATCATTGTAAATTTAACAGTATGCAAGCCACCCGGGTTCGATCCCCGCCGGCACCAATGAAATTGTTAATTGCAATTTTAAGTGCTGATTTACCGCGTGCTCGACGGTGAAGGAAAACATCGTGAGGAAACCTCCATGTCCGAGAAACAAGAACAAATAATGTTTCGAAGAAATGTGAAGTTCGCCAACATGCATTGGGGCAGCGCGGTGGACACTTCCTAGCCCCAAAACCTTCTCAGAAATGAGTGTAGGCCTATGGCCAGCAGGGGGACGTATAAAGGCTATAACTTTTTTACTTTAATGATAAGTAAACATTCATTTTATAATGAAATGCGAGGGTTTTATTATCGATTTCATTCGCCTGCATAAAAATTGAGAACATTTTTGTAGTATATTTATCTTGTTTATTTTATTGGACTTTTCAATTCATAAGTTTAATTGCTTCCTACGTTCGAGGACGGTGCTCAAGCAGTATTAAGCGAACTCCAATGAAATTCATTAAAATATTACGTACTTATATTTTACTCTTGAAAGTATTGGCTCCTTTTAGTAGACTTAAAATAAAGATAGAAACGTCCCTTCTTTCAAGTAAGAACTGACAAAAAATACAAACGTTTAAAAAATACTTCTGCTTCGTATTAACAAAAGACTCATATAGATTTTCAAGTTATTAGTTACTAAAATTGAGCTTCCGAAGATAGAAATTTAGTTGCAGCTTTGTAAGTGCTTCAAAAGAAACATTCTTTTGATATAAATAATATGTAAATTAAAATCTGTTCGAGTCTTGAGCGCTTTTGGGTATCGAGATATGATTCGGTTCATGTTTTTCTTTTTAGTAAATAATTAAAAAATACCTAAGTATAATATGGGGAAACTTACGTAGCAAATGCATGCCACGCGGACGGCCGTCTCGTAAGGCTGGCACAAGACCTTGTATGTATATACACTTTATATTACTATACTACAAGCAGACTAAGTTCTGCAGCCTATGCTGTAAAAAAGATTAGAGGTCTCACTAGTGTCGAGACAGCTAGATTAGTTTATTTCAGTTATTTCCATAGCATAATATCTTATGGGATAATAACTTTCAATAAGAATTATACATGTGATCTATATTGAATAAAAATTATTCTATTCTATTCTACTCTTTGCATCAGACTAAGCTTCAAATTTCTATGTGTCTGCACAAAGTTTGAACACATAACTGCAGATTGCCATCTAATGTCGGTTATTCTGCGCATATCGCGTGTGAGTGGCAACAATGCAAAAATTATGCTATTATTGAATTCTATAATTATTCTATTATATAAGCATGTCGAGTTTCACGAGTTTCTTTAAGCAGAGCCGTCAAAATTAAATTCGAAAAACAGGTATCATAAGTAACAAAAACATTTTTTACTTCAACTAGTGGTAAATTTTTCCATTTTCATCATTTTATTAATACCTATATCAAATGAAATACTTAAATAAAATTATGTAATCAAAATCACCCTAATAAAACAAAGATACGGAGCCTACTAAATAGTCGTCCATTCTGTGAAACATCTTTGCGATTAATGTGAGTGCAAATACATATTTGAAAATTTAAAAACAAGTAACATATGCGTTTCCATTTGCTCACAACAAATTTATAAAACAAATATTTTAAAATTATGTGTCTAAATTTTGCTCACTTGTGTGGCCGTCATTCAGCAAATTGTAGTAGAAAATATATTATATTTTAAATAACAATAACATTTCATATTCATCAATTATAATATGATGTTTTTTTTTTGTATATTATGTGAAACTTTCGGATCAGATAGGGTGTTTTAACATATTGTATATAATGGATAACGAGGAATCATTTTATCTACGATATGTATGTCTAAATAGATTTGACTTACGTAGGAAAGTAAAGAAAAGACAATCGTTCCGTTATCCTGTACGGCCAAATTTTTCGAACTAGCTCCAATTTCTCTGATCTGAGCGCAAGCTATTGCGCCTATGAAACCGGGATTGGCGCATAATGGTATTCCATCAAAAAGCAATTCTCGTATTCGTACTACAAGAAAAGGTGAGTTGTTACTGCCAAAGACTCCACCAAGAGCAGAGTTCAGAACTCCCATTAGTCCAGGTAATGTGCTTTCTGCTACTTGAAGAATTGCCTGTAAAAGTAAATTGTGATTACACTTTTGTTTTATAAAAAACCTCCATTATTATTTATTTTTAGATCAGTAAATTATATTTTACGCACAAAATATATAAATAAATTCACTTGGACACAATGCTTTCACCTTCTTTTTAAAAACTTTTAATTCTACTATCTGCTATAATCAAAGGTGAAAATTACCGCAAGCCCTCTCACGTTTTGGGAGCCTTACGTTTAGAAATTGACTTACTTACTACAATCATTCTTAGTGAAACTTAAAAATTTTGTTTTTCAATTAATGGTAATGTAAAGTAAAGTTATAGTTAAATACTTTTGACCTCGCCAATTTTAGATCTCTTACTGTACTATCAATATTTATAATTTACATAATATTATAAATAATTTACTTCATAAAAATCAGTTCGGTTTGACAAGGGGTCGCTCGACAAATGATGCTGGTGTTGACCTAATTAAACATATCTGCAATGCGTGGGAGAATTCACAGAATGCTTTGGGTATATTCTGTGACCTATCCGTTTTAGTTGTGGTAAAGCCACGCTGCAGCTATAATATAGCTGTAGCACGAATGAGTCGGCTCGACCAGGGTACGTACACGCTCTCACAGAACACCAGTCTAAAATAGCAGCTTAATGTTGCGGTGTTTCGTAGGTGTGTTAAGAGAATTGGAGATCCTTTTTACTGAAAACGAAGCATTCCATGTTAGTCCTCAGGGGTGACAATTCATCTGTATTTTGATCTTTAATCAAGGATAAACGTAGATGTATATGGGCCACAGCATCAATTGACCATCTGTGGACTGTGTGCTCGTTTGCCACCCTTATTCTATGTAAAAAAAAATAACAAAGCCTTTGATTGTATTCACCATGAGAAATTAACCAGGAAACTACAACACTATTGTGTAAGTGATGCTTTTAAATTTGTTATTTCGTATTTAAGTAACAGAACGTAAAAAGTTGTTATTATGAGTTCTTCCGGAACGATAGTACAAATGGGCGTACTTGAGGCCTCAATTATCGGCCCCTTTCTGCTTCTTGTATATATTAATGAATTATCAACTAATTTCGAGATATTGGTGCTGTTAGCCTATGCGGCTCTTACAGTTTCATCTGACACAGGGATCATGTCCCCTCAGTTGAGGTTTATTGAGCTATCTAACCGCTGCCCGAGTGGGTCTGTGCGTACCTCCGCCTCTGACTGCTGAGGTCGTGTCGGTCGATGTTCTGGGCGGTGAGAATCGCCCAGGTACGCGAGTGTACGGTGTGTACGTGGTGTGCGCTGGAATGCGTCGTGCCCGCCTACGGGTGCGACGCGCCCCATCCGTTATCCTATTTGTGCTTGTCCCATTAGGTGTGGGTGTAGTGTCAGTGTATGATGTGCCTGCGACGTTTGGGTCGACGGATCGAGAGAGCGTGATTGTTCTATTAGTACGTTACGCGCTCTACGGAGAGTCGGCGCGACGTTTGGTATCGGGACATAGTAACGTAGCCAGCCATTGCCCGCTTGTGGCAAGGGTGGTTCGGATGGGTTTCGGCGCTATCAAAATAGCGCTGAGACATCTCCTTGAATGACCTAACGTACATAGTAACAATAACTATGATATAGTATTATTTGCTAATGATACTTTATTAGTTTTCAAATTAAAACGACCATTACTAAAATATGACAAGGTAAATAATGCTATAATATCTAATTTAGTTAAATCGGGAAGAGATTAACGTCTACAATTTGCATTTTGGGGAAAAATAAATAAATAAATTGTGAAATATAATAAACTAGCTGGCCAGGCAGACGTTGTTTTGCCCTTTTTGACGACACTTCCTATGAAAAAATCCTTAAATTCCCAATTAAAAAAATATTGAAGGACACTTATTGGGATAAAAAGTATCCTATCTCTCAATTTGGATCAAACTGCACACATTGTACACAGTTTCATTGAATTCAGTTCAATAGTTTAGGAGTTCATCGCGGACAAACAATGTGACACGTAATTTTTATATATAAAAATTTAAATTTTACTAAAACTCATACATTTAGTTTTAGTGAAATGAAAACTCCAAAATCATAACTCCAAATGTCAAACAATAAAATACTAATGTTGTATGTAAATGGAATTGAGTCTTGTCGATAACACAACTGTTCTTGGATATATTTATTTAAAACATAAAAGATTTTTAATATTGATATAGTCACTATAAGATGTTGTTAGGTAAGCTAATTACGTAATAACTTAAGATAGAAGGAACCTTAAGTAGGGACTGAATAAATTAACCAACTTGGTATTAATGATCTCACAACTTTTTACGGTATAAGAACTGAGTTGCGAGACTTGTTTTTTTTACATGTTATGTTTTTGACGGCATCTCATTTCTTTTTGTAGATAGTTATATCTAGGTACCTATTTATACCTATTATACCATTATATTATACATATACAGGTACACTGATTTATTCACTGCAAAGGTAACTTTGTAATCCTATATATTTATATGGGATTACAAAGTTAATTATGCAGTCGATGTATCTAGAAAACTGGACCAAAATTGCAAAATATTTTAGTTTTTCCTTGATTTATACACTAAACGCTAATTGTATTCTAAATTTGAAGCTTCTATGTCTGCTAGAAGTGCCTTAGAGTTTTGATGATCGGTAAGCCAGTGAGTGACAAAATTAAGAAACTTTGACTAGTTATAATTCTTAAACTACTGGTTCAAATTGAATGAAATTTGAAATATACCGTGATTATACAATGTCTGCTTGGTTACTGAAAGTCAATGCTTCTAGTTTTATTCACAACGAAGTTATAGTCGAAAATAGCCTGAATTGCTTCGAGAAAAGGATGGTACGGTCGTGCCGCGTCTTTGCTCGACTTGGCGGGGGCACTGCCGTGCTCCCAGATTTAGCACGTTTTAGGACACTTATTCAATAGTCAGATAAAGTCTATTATGCTAAACATAAAAGCTTTACTAGGCCTGTAACTTTGTACAACGGTAATGCCCCTCCAAAAAAGAAATCAGTTTTTCTTTTAAATATTAGATGCTTGTATCAAATCCCTAATTGTATATCGAAGATTAACCATTGAATAATATTATATCATTCAACCATATTGCATTACGATTCTTTTAGTTATCAACACTAAATCGTAAGCACTTACGTAGTGACAAACAACTTCAGTCATCTAATATCTTAATCTAATAATCGATATCTTAAATTGTAATAATCCAAGATAACTAGTTATTTATTTTCAATGTCATAAGTTATATAATATATCGTTTGAAAAAGAAAAGCTAGAACGTGACCTAGTGAATTTTAAATCAATACTTCACGCATAGAGCAACACGGTGCATCGGAGAGGGGTAACCCTAGCCTTTTTCCTCGATACAGAACTGTTCATTATTTTCGGCGGGGGGAAATCTGCGCACGCATTATAATATCAGAGTTGTGGCTTGAAGTCCCATCTAAACCTAAAAGACATATGAAAGTAAGGTTTTTGAAGCATTATATTGATAGGAATGAGACTTGAAAAGTATTATTTTAGTGTCGGGTAGACAGTTTTGTACAGACAGACAGGTAGTTAGTTTTGAGAGTGCATTTCATCTTAGTGCCGGTGGTTTGTTTTGCGGATAAAGCCGTGCTGACCATGCAATTGGTGATTATATCTGATGCGCGACTTCTGTCGATATTTGCGCTTACAAACTGCCAAAAACTACAAAAGACAAGCCCTCTTTTCCTGGTTTGCTAGTTGCTTTGCTGTGGACTATTCCCCAACTTCTCGTTCCTCTAAGAAGAAGAAGAAGGAAGCGCGTTCTTTGGGTTGGCGCTCACCGCACAAAGAGTTGGCCCGTGTGGAGTCGTGCCACCCACACATTTTTATTAAATGAGCGAGAACGAAGCACTTGTGTTGGATATTTTTAGAGTTCCATACATCAAAAGCAAAAAACGGAACCCTTATAGGATCACTTTGTTGCCCGTCTGTCTGTCTGTCTGTCAAGACCCTTTTTCTCAGGAACGCGTGGAGGTATCAAGCTGAAATTCATATGAAATACTCAAGTCTATTGTAGTATATTGTCCATTGGAGCTTTGAAAAAATCAAACTTCTAAGCCAACGCAATCAAAAGATACAACCGCTTACGCCGCAAATTTTCGACATTCGCAAGGGAATCAAAACCTACAGGGTACTTCCCGTGAATTCAGAATCTTAAAATTTGGTACGAAGCAACGTATTATAGCACAGATAAAGGAAAAATTACGAAAAGCATACATTTTTAGTTACGTCGTTTAAAAAAATATTTTCAATTATTTTAAACTTATATACCTACGGATTTGTTCGGAACCCTCGGTGCGCGAGTCCGACTCGCACTTGGCCGGTTTTTTTATAAACATTATGATGAGCCTTTTCCAAGCGGGAAGAGATTAATTAATAGGGAATTGACTGATGTGAACCTGATACATCTGGAATAGTGTTCATAACTTTGGTGAGCCGTTTTTTCGTATACGGGGTTCTTTAGCTTAAAATAATTATAATAATTAAATATAGGATATAGGAAGCCGTTGGTAGTGCAACGGCTCTAGTGACTATTCTTTCTTCCAAGAGACACCTAAAATAACTAAGTTACTAAACAAGCACAACGTAAATAAGGGTCCTAACTAAAACGACCATGCCATAAATTTAGCAAACGACCTATAATTAAACCTCAATAAAATAAAATTAAAAGAGATCCTTCGAAAGGATCAATATTCATTAGTCTGGTCACGTTTTATTTGTTTTATGTTTTTATTATTCGACAGACGGCCTTCAGGTCATTGTTGGAGAAGTAGGTAAGATTGATCTTCATCGCCACGCTTGGCTGAGATTGGAGAAGTTGCACTTGGAGATGGTTATACTAATATCAATTATTTATAACTTAAAGAAATCTTTATATTATTTTTTTCTGACTCTTTCGGCACCTACTTTGAATCGCCACCATACTCTGCAAATAAATAGTAGAATTATTAACA